ACCAATCTTTGTAACGCAGGGGGGCAGACGCTTGATCCAAATTTTCCTAGACCCACGCACGGTTTTGCTTGATCTATTTTTTGTCCGCCCCAGCCTCGAATTGGAAACGCTCCGAGCCCTTATAAAGGCTCTCTCTCGTTATACCCCGACCACAAGAGGCAAGGTTGTACAGTAGAAAAGATCCGGGTACTGACGTCAACTAGGGCGACTTTTTCAGGCGACACCGGAAAAGTTTTTCAAAGCTGCTCTTTTGAAACTCGAGTAGAAAACTTAACGAAAAAAAACTATACAGTTGCGAACGCATATTCTTCACGGGCAGTAGAAAGTCTAATTAATTCAAACTTTAAACGTAAGTATCTTTGATTTGTATAATTTAAAAAAAAATTAAAAAACTTTAAACAGTATTTAAAATTACTTTATAAGCATAGTATTATTACTCTATCAACGACTAATTGTATATTTTAAGTTTGATGCGTTTTTTGTAATAGGTTATTATTTTGGTAGAGTGATTTTTGAACTCTACAATATTTTTCTTAATTAAAAATCAGGATGATCAAAATAAGAAAACTTGCTTATTAAATTGTTACAATTTTCTAATCGAAAAGAAAACGGAATTGAAATTGGTTTTTAGAAATTTAAACTGAGCGAGTTATTTGTTCTGAAAAGTTGACTCCAAAATCAAAAAACGTTCAGAAAAATAGTTTGTAAAAAAGTAAGTATAGAGAAAAATAAAAATCCGAGCCACAATTAAGCTTAAACGGTAAAGCGAAATAATTATCACAAAGTTTAGAATTAGTGAAAATTTAACTGATGTAGAATAATCAGTTTGCTAGCTTTAATATACGACTTTAAAAAATATCTCTGAACGGGAAACAAATTTGTCAACCTGTTGAGTGGAACATTATCTTTAAACACGTTTCTGAGAGCACCAATAACTAGCTACATCAATTGTTGGAAAAAAAAAATGAAGTAAAAATTTAAATCAACAATTTTGCTATTCTCCGTAGCAGACGATAGAGACCACATTAGCATAAAAAAATGGCGTCACGTCTGCTGAAAGTGTGAAAAGACAAAAAGACAGCGTTTTGATGTGTGAGTGTGTGCGGTTTGATGTGTGAGTGTGAGCGGGTTTGATGTGTGAGTGTGAGCGTTTTGATGTGTGTGTGCGTTTTGATGTATGAGTGTGAGCGGGTTTGATGTGTGAGCGTTTTGATGTATGAGTGTGAGCGTTTTGATGTGTGAGTGTGAGCGGGTTTGATGTTTACATCACGCCAAGCTGATCATTTCTGTTTTATTTGTATAAAGTCGAATTAAGCCGGAAATCTAAATCAGGCTCTAGCGATCAGAAACTTTCCGACGGTTAATGTCATAAATCGGAACAAGTTGCTATGTTTACCTAGCCGAAAAAACAAAATTGTTTCGGTTTAAAATAATACCATCTAAGTTATTATTAACGCCAGATATTTCATTATCTTACACAACGCGAACATTGAACAATATATTGTTTAAAATTGTATCGGCTATTTATAAATAACGCTGGAAACGAAATATTAGACTATTCAGAGAAAGAGGTCGAAATTAATCATTGCACTTTTATTATAGGATATTGAGCTAGAATTAAAGAAAAGAGAAAATCATATATTGTGGAATTCTTCAAATTAAAAAAAATTGAATATCTTGCATGTCTTCAAATAAAAAAAAAATGAATATCTAGCATGTCTTCAAATAAAAAAAAATATTAATATCAAGCCAGCCACACTTATAAAAACTGACAACTGTAAATACAGAAGGGTGAGAGTTGTAAGAAATACGCGCACATCGATAAAAACAGGCAGAGGCGTAGCAACGGGGGGCGGGGGGGGGGGGGGGGGGAAGGGGGGTACATATGTCCCCGGGCGCCGACATAAGAGGGCGCTAAAATGGGTTGTAAAAACAAATTAAAACGTCATTTTATTTGCATTTTTGCATTATTAATAGTTTGATGGGAGGGGGGGGGGCTTGTAAAATCGAAATTTGAGGGGGGGGGGGTTGCAAATTGAAAAATTGATCTCGAAGGTGGCGCCAAATTGAAAGTTTGTCCCCGGGCGTCGCTACGCCTCTGGAAACAGGCCGAAACATTGTGCCGTTTAGCTTTTTTGTATGACATCACTCACTCGAGAATACACTGACAAATACAGACGTCATGTACTAACCCAGGGGTTCCCAACCTTTTTTGACTCTAGAGCACATTCTAAAATATCGGTAGGGTGGCGGGCACCACCTATTTTAAATCGACAAACTCCTTCCAGAGGCGTAGCGACCCTTCCCGTCACCCGGGGACAAAACTTTCGATTTGCACCCCCCCTTCCTCTAACTTTCGATTTGCACCCCCCTCCCCTCAAACTTTCGATTTCCATCCCCTTCAACCATTCAATAATGTTTATAAAAAAATTCTGTCTCTGTCGAATAGTGAGAGGCGGGCACATACGAATCGTTCGGCGGGCGCCCTATGGGCGCCCGCGGGCACGGGGTTGGGAACCCCTGTACTAACCTAAATTTTGCCAATCACGTCATTTACTGAGCAACCGATCTCATATTCTCAAAAAAAAAATAATCGATTATTTATTTAACTTCAGATACAAATAAAAATGAAATTAAATTTTAAAAAATCAATGACCGAAAACATGTGGAATGAATAACCCTGTACAACAGGTACATTGTCTTGGCTTAACACTAGGCATGACAACTCATTACAGTCGTAAATAAACCGGGAGTGATCTACCCTAAACTTTCTCGAATATTCTTATATAAAATAACAGGGGATGGGAACTCGGGCTATAGACATGATTTTTAATCCATTTTAAATACTTAAAGTTTTAAAAATAGAATAAAATCTCGTAGACAAATTAATTGCACACCAAGTGAACGCCAAATAAAAAAGCGCATAATGGTGCGCAATATTATTAGTACTTTTAAAATTTACATTAGTTTTTTGAGAAATCGGAAGTAGCGTAAATTACTACTTCCGGTTAACGGAAATTACTCAAAATTTAACAGAAGGTAGAGAATTAGATCTTTTACTTACATGTGAAATTTCATTTATCTATCTGAAATAGTACTCAAGTTATAGGCTTTTGAAAAATTCAAAGTAGGAAAAGTACCACTTCCGGTTATCGGAAATCGCTCAAAAGTTGATACGGACAAGATTGCAAAATTATGTTTTTCCGTATCAGTGAGGTGTAAAACGTCGAGATTTGTAAAAATCTCGATTTTTTTTTTTTGCACGATTACAAGACTTTCTCTATACTTCGAATTATACGAGAAAGTAAAAAAACAAACTTTCGCAGAATTTTCTCAGTTTGTTTTTATTACCGGGACATTCTCTTGGCTTAACACTAGGCATGGCAACTCATAACAGTCGTAAAAAAAAAACTGTCACAGAATTTTCCCAGATTGTTTATTTATTACAGTGTCATCCAATCATACTAGTCCAATCACTTCTCATCGGTTTTACTAGACCTAATTACGTCAATTTTCAATTAGTTCGATCACCAATAATCTGCTGTGTCTGTTGTATTGCCTACCAGCTTATGAAATTGGTTGTGTTTTATAATCCGCATTACAAATTACGATTAAATAACACGGTTGTTTTTGGGTGTTTTGATTTTTGTTTTTTTAATGTTCAGTATTTTACAATCTTTAGCTTATTGTTTTTTTTTTTAAATTTTGTATTTCAAGCGGATGCGATCCATGCTTATATTTGTTTCCTTGCTTCTTGTATATTGGCAGATTAAAAAAAAAATTGCTAAAAATTATTTTTTATTTATTCGTGTTTTTTTCCATATTGTAAGAATCAGGCACAATTTTTTACATACAAGCTCAAAAACAGAAGGACCGATAACTTTTTTTAACACATCGCCACAAAAACCTATTGAGAGCTAGGGCGTGATCACCAAATTACTCCTTGACAACATGCCCGCTGGAATGGTCGCCACGTAGGGTTGAAGAGTTTTGTATCAATTGACTGCATTTGTGGGTTATAGTTATGTCTCTATAGCCCGCTAGGGCGTACAAATTATGACGTTCCTGCTCTATTCTCCCGTACACTTGTACACATGCCAGTAGATTCTTGCAGTTTGACGCCTCGTGTACACTTAGTACACAAAGCATTAAAAGTACCGGCGAGTATGATAAGTTGTACCCACGTTATTTGCGTCATTTGAAGAAAATCGTCTTGTATTTTCAATCTGAGGAAAAAAACATTTATGAAAATGTTCCGACCATAGGCCTTCGTCAGATATGTGAACTGAAAATTAAGCTGTATTATACTATGTTAATGCACCACCATGAATAATTCAACAGAAATTTACGATTATCTATATGATGCAGCTTTCATTATAAATTATCTTCTATATCTTGGTTGTTTGTTTTCGTCCATCTCCAGATGAAACTCCTCTCCGTTGCTCTGACCCTCGCCATCATCCTCGGTATGTGTGAGTCCACGGAGGCATCCAAGGCGCTGAAGGACCTACTTGAGCAGCAGCATCTCATCTACGGCCGCAGCAAGATCACACCCAGCATGAACAGTTTACTCTTCGGCAAGAGGTACGTGTCTGTAGGTTGGTCTGTGGTGTGGTGTGGTGATGTGTGTTGTTGTGGGTGGTTGGTGGTGTTGTTGTTGGCAGTTGTTGTTGTGGTTGTTGGTGTGGTTGTTGGTGTGGTTGTGGGTGGTTGGTGGTGTTGTTTTTGGTGTGATTGTGTTGTGGGTGGTTGTTGGTGTGGTTGTTGGTGTGGTTGTGGGTGGTTCTTGGTGTGGTTGTTGGTGTGGTTGTTGGTGTGGTTGTTGGTGTGGTTGTTGGTGTGGTTGTTGTTGGTGTGGTTGTTGGTGTGGTTGTGAGTGTGGTTGCTGGTGGTTGTTGGTGTGGTTGTGGGTAGTTGTTGGGTGTGGTTGTTGTTGGTGTGGTTGTTGGTGTGGTTGTTGTTGGTGTGGTTGTTGGTGTGGTTGTCGGTGTGGTTGTGGGTAGTTGTTGGTGTTGTTGTTGTTGGTGTGGTTGTTGGTGTGGTTGTTGGTGTGGTTGTGGATGGTTGCTGGTGTGGTTGTTGGTGTGGTTGTGGGTGGTTGGTGGTGTTGTTGTTGGTGTGATTGTGTTGTGGGTGGTTGGTGGTGTGGTTGCTTGTGGCTGTTGGTGTGGTTGTTGGTGTGGTTGTGGGTAGTTATCGGGTGTGGTTGTTGGTGTGATTGTTGGTGTGGTTGTGGGTGTGGTTGCTGGTGGTTGTTGGTGTGGTTGTGGGTAGTTGTTGGTGTGGTTGTAGGTAGTTGTTGGTGTGGTTGAACGTATGGTTGTTGGCGTGGTTGTTATTGTGGTTGTTAGTGTAGTTGTTGGTGTGGTTGTGGGTAGTTGTTGGTGTGGTTGTTGGTGTGGTTGTGGGTAATTGTTGGTGTGGTTGTTGGTGTGGTTGTGGTTAGATGTTGGTGCGGTTATTACTTAGGCTGCGGCTGTGTCTGTTGGTGTGGTTGTTGGTGTGTTTATCGTGTGTGGTTTGTGTGGGTAGTCTGGTTTGGCCATCACATTTCTCCCTTAACAATTTTTGATTTGTTGGCATGTTAGCAACATTCAAATAACAGGAATCACCGCAACAATTTTTCCCATAGATAAAATAGAGGGTGTTGGCCCTTGAATTATAATCAGGGAATAATTCCCCTTGAGAATACAGGAGCCAGAATTAACAAAAGCGCCACCGTATTAATTTCCCCTGTTTTATCAAATGTTTAATACATATTTCATTTTTTTAAAATTTAGTCAACGCTTTTTATGAATCAAAACTAATTTTAAAAAGGTGATTTTTAAAAATTGATTTTAGGTTGTCTTTTTTTTGTGTGAGTAAACCAAACATTTTGAACTGTAATCCACACCGATTTTAACCCATGATTTCATGAAACCTATAGAAGGGGAAATAACTATGGTGTTAACTTTTTTTTTTTTTGATGATCAGGTCACAGGCTGAGAACTTTCGAGACATGAAACGCCAGTTGAACACCTACCTGGAGAACATGGATGCGCTGATCAATGACGATGAGTCACAGGTGTGACGCACGATGTACGAGTCACAGAAATAAACTGTTATATAATTATTACATGGCGTTCTCTCGTAATCTATGAAGTGGCTGAGTGACAGTGTGATTAATTAGATGTTGTGGGTATTAATATTTTTTAAATTTCAAACAGTATTGTCACACACAAAAATACTTTTCTTTAAGGTTTCATCGTGGATGCCCATAGCCAATAAAGTTAGGGTAAGAGTTAATGATTTAGTTGCTGAATGACTATGGTTAATTGGAAATTTCGGGTCTTAATATCTTTTAAATTTCTAACAGCTTTATAAAAAAATACTTTTCACTAATTTTTTACAGTGGAGGCTCATAGCCAATAAAATAAGGGTTAATGATTTAATGTATTGATGTACTGTTTCTCTTCTCTTGTATGGACTCAACCAACTTTAACAACACACTTTAGCAAACAAAGATTTGCTATAGCATCTAGATTTCATCATTGTCATCCCTTAACCCTTAAGTGGTCATTGGGGGTACCACAGTTGACCTTATAATTCTCCTCCATCCATCTCTATCCTCTGCCGCTCTGAGTGGTTCTGAGACTAAATGTAACGTTTCGCTTCTGTTTCTCGTTCACACTCTGAGACGATCAAAAATGATGAAGAATAAGTCGTCTTCTGCAAATCTTTATTTGACTATCTTTCTTGACCGGGAATTGTCTGTGTAGCGTGTATCTAAAAAGACTATAGCGCCAACACGCGTAGTGCCTAAAACAACGTCACATCTGCTGCCCTTTTGTTTCCCTCTAGTTTCTTTCTTCACCCTCCTGGCTTTTTATTTAGAGGGGGGAGGGGTGTCATGGACATTAAAGTTGATTAAAGTACTGTCAAGGTTATGGACGATTCGATATTGAAAGTAAGACTAGCTTCCCATTCCATTCATTTCACCTACCTCAATTCTACCCCTGCATTTATATCGATCATCTATCATGTGTAAACGACGTGTAAAGGTATTAGGATAAGCATTTAAAGTTAGTCCATGTACGGGTCATCGCGCATTTTCTAGACCCCCACAGAACAAATATTTCCCGCAAGAACATATTGAGCTTGCTGTTCAACATTAAACAACACTTGAATAAACAGTATCGATCTTCACGATAATAAACAGTATCGATCCTGTCGATAATAAACAGCAACCTGCCCATAGTACAAATACCAGAAGAAACAAAACAAAACAATAGCTTGTTTATACTACAGCAACGTGGAAAAATTGAATATTCTCGGTAGCTAGACTATCACAGGAAACAAAAAAACAATCACATGTTCTGATTGTTAGCAGGAGAAACGAAACAAATAATCACAAATTGGTAAAAATTAGAAATAAAATATACAAATCAATACAATGACAATCGTATTTACCTTAGCACTTATTGATATGCTGGAGGTAAAAATCAAACATTGATCTAATACAATTCTTCAATTCTTCAATAGCTAACATAGCTTTTAGACTTGAAGTGAAAATTTCGGGGGGTCGGACTAAAATTTCGGGGGGGGGGGGGGGGGGGGGCAGGGGCACTTGAAATTTTTGGGGGTCGGACTTAAACTTCCAGGGGGGGGGGGGGTTGACACTGGTAAACGAATATATTTTTCCTCCCCCCCACCCCCACTAAATGCCTGAAAAAAACTGAATCGAACCCTCAAATTCTGAGACGTCTGAAATATCTTAACAAAACAGGTAGACTATTACGTCTGTTTTGAAACATTGGTAGCAATATATGATCTGCTTTCTGATCGGTTTAACATTTAGATGTTTCACACGACAGAAAACTGTGTCCACTCCACACTCAGACAACTCACTCATCATAACAAACAAGGGATGAAATCGGCGGTGATGTATTTGGATTGCCAGGATCTACTTATTTAGTTTTACATTTAACATTTAGGTCTACACTATATACAACATTATGCACTGAGATTAGCCTTGATGAAAATACTCCATCCAGTAAAAATAAACGGTTCATCTGGAATCACGATTTGCAAAAAAAAAAAAAAATGCCATTAATAAAACTTAGGGTGATATATGCACATTAATTAATTATATAAAAGAAAAACAAAATATTATTAATTATACTCCTTCTTGTATAAAGGGATCAGTTGATAGGTGAGATATCTTAGGTATACCACAGGGATCAGTGACACCGCAGATTTAAGGTATCAGTTACCTGAGGTCTAAGGGATCAGTTACACCGCAGATATAAGGTATCAGTTACCTGAGGTCTAAGGGATCAGTTACACCGCAGATATAAGGTATCAGTTACCTGAGGTATAAGGGATCAGTGACACCTTAGATGTAAAAAGTTTCCCTTTCAAACCTGACGGTCTATAGGGCAAGTCAAGTAGAGTTCACTTGTTTCTGTGCCCTTTGCATATGAAGAGATAGTGTGGTCAGCACTATGCCCAGCCGCCTTTACTTTCCCTAACGTGAACCTTAGATGTAAGGGATCAGTAACACCTCAGGTGTAAGGGATCAGTAACACCTTAGGTGTAAGGGATCAGTAACACCTTAGGTGTAAGGGATCAGTAACACCTCAGGTGTAAGGGATCAGTAACACCTTAGGTGTAAGGGATCAGTAACACCTTAGGTGTAAGGGATCAGTAACACCTTAAGTGTACCACAGGGATCCGCGAGATCTCAGTTGTACCACAGGGATCAGTGACACCTGAAATCTACAACAGGGACTAGAAAAACCTCAGGTGTACCCAGTGGTGTAGCGAGGTCGGGTGTCACCCGGTGCGGCACTTAATGGTGTCAACCCCCCCCCCCCCCCCCACCCAGAGGAGTAGCGACCATTCCGGGGACAAACTTTCAATTTTCGATTTGCACCCCCCCCCCCGTCAATATTTCGATTTGCGCTTCTTAAAAGACTATTTAACACTCGAATTAATCACTTAATTAAGTGGAATTATCATTTTTCTATATATATTTTGCTTTTTTTGCCTTGGTGTCACCCCCCTAAATGGTGTCACCCGGTGTGGTCCGCACCCCCCTCCCCTCGCTACGCCTCTGGTGTACCACAGGGAATTAGTGACACATCGAGTGTAAGGGATCAGTTGATGAATGAGGCATTCTACCACCAGTCACTATATGCACGTGGTCAACACAGACTCACAAAGTATATTGCAATACATGTGTGTGGTGTCTGTCCGGCGTCATGTTCCAGTCAAAGTCGAACACACAAACAGCATGAGAACAACAACGTTTTCAAACATCGGTCAAAAGAATTGTGCACATTTGCACGCTATACTATTTTAAAAACCTCACTCTGTTTCAAGAAGCTTTTAACAGAGCCTGTGTATAAACTTTCATACACCTCTCAGAAAAGCCAGCTGTAAACTCTATGGAACGGTTTGGTTCTGTCTGTAGACCCTACAAGGTCTAATTTGTTGGAGTCTTGTACAATGGTTCTTTATGGCATGTCTCCTGGGGTCGGGAGTGGCCATCCCATTCCCGACGAAATAGAAAAAAAAATTACATTTCAATATTAAATATATACTTTAACCGTGGTTGTGTCCCCCCCCCCCCCACTCCCCGACGTTTCAAATGTTTCACAGGAAAGCTGAAAGCTAGCCTGATCGTTTAGGCTACATATGTAACTTCAAAGTTTTAAGTAAATTAGAAGCTCAATGGGAATCTTTGAAAGAAAAAGCTCATATAATATGAAAGAAACAATTGCTCACACACAACGCCAAGATTGTCAACTAGCGTTGTTATATAGTACGATGGATCGCATTACTGGGACATATCATACGTGCATTACAATACTACGTATACAACACATTAGTAAAGTATTTTCTTAAATATAAAGCCTACAATCCAACTTAAAAGCTGCCTGCTTGATTAAAGTATTTTATTTCACTTGATGGACGAGTGGATATGGTAGATTTTACACTGTCAGATAACCTTTAAACAGAAGAAGCAGTTTGCAGTTATCAATACTATATTGTATTCAAAACAATACAAGTGAATTAATTGCTGTAAAATAGAATTTTGGAGGAATGTAAAAAATACTTGCTAATGCGAACAATTTAATGTTTTGGACAGGCAAGACATTTTTAAAAATTGTGTGTAGGCATATATATATATATATATATATATATATATATATATATATATATATATATATATATATATATATATATATATATATATATATATATATATATATATATATATATATATATATATATATATATATATATATATATATATATATATATATATACATATATACATATATATATCCTATATTTCAGCATTTGAAGCACCCCCCCCCCCCCCCCCCCCCCGCAACGACGAGAGCCTGACTACGCCTCTGCTTTGACATATTTTTTTTAGAATACCGCACTCCCTTTAACAACTAACCTTTTATTTTAAATTCAATGTTTTAAAAAAAAATGACGAATGCGGCTTATTTCGTCAATTTTTTTTAACAGGAAAGTTTTCTGAAGTTAATTAAAATACGAATCGGAAATACGCTGAGTTTTAGTTGTCACGTGACTTCAAGTACCAATACTCTTCTTTCTTTGGAGAGATGAAAAAAAAAATCCGGAGTGATCTTCCCTTGGGATTTGAACATGATCCGGCGTCTTTGGTTATGTGTGGCCATCGTTTAATGCTGCAGCACGTTGACTAAACGGCACCTGAAATCTAGATGCTTCCACAACTAATTGGCTCTAATGTAGTGGGTCGGAGGTCATTTCCTGGAGTGGACGCGGTTGTCTCTCGTTTTCTTCTATTGACTTCGTAGTTAACCAAATTCCTGTGTTAAAGCGCCATTGAAATTGTTTATTTAAAGTGGTAATTTTCTTCTAGGCATCTCTTTGGTGGAGGGGGTATTGCGCCCCCCCCCCCCGAAAAATATCTACCGCCCCCCCCCCCCCAGGACGAAATATAATTTATATAGAACATATATACTTGTACCAGAGTCCGCCCCCCACTCGGAAATTTTAGTGTGCCCCCCTCCCCCGAAAATCTCAGGTGCCCCCACCCCACGGAGAAAAAGTCTAGGCGAAAAATTGGTTTTT